CCCGCCTGGGCCGTGCTGCCGGGGCCGCCCTCGGGCGGGCCGCGGTTCCGCGCCGCTGACGGGGATCCTCCGTGTGGCGGAACGGCTCTTGGTCGGACGCAAGAAGCCGTCTGGTTCTGCTGAGGTCCTAAAGTGGCCAAAGGCATCGGAAATACCCGTAGTTGCTGGGTAACGCCTCAGCTCACCCCGCCTCTGGTGCCAAACCGTCCCCTGTGTTCTAGCGGTAGTACAGCGCCGTTAGGCTGGAGCTCCGGTTTTGCCTCTTGCTAAGGTTTTCAGACTTAAGCATGTTGTTGAACTCTGGCGGCACGCTATAGCTTGTGGCTGCTGGAGGAATGTAGGTGTTGGGATGCTTTGTAGATTAGGCCACGTTTTGCATATTTGGAAAAATATAGTAACGTGATTTGAGTCAAAATTATCACTTATTCTGGTATGACTGTCAGTGAATGATACAGAGAGGCTTGTTGAGCGCAGATAGGCTTTAAAGCCAAAGTAGGCATAAAATGGAAAATGCTGTGTAGTAAAAGAAAATTATAAAGTAAAATGATGAAGCATATTTTGGTTTGTTTCTGTTTAGATAATGGCGTCTTGTAGCTCTGTCAACATTCACAAGAGCAAATCGCCAGCTTCTGAAAGTGAAGATGAGATAGAGTTCGTTGGAGTAAGTAAATCTTGAACCGGAAATGTACTGCCTGTTACTGTAAATATGCTCTTGGTAACCCGATAAAATAGGAGGGGGTCTTTGTGTACTCTGTTGATGATCTTGATTAGATTTCCGTGGAAGGCATTACTTTTGGACTTAAAGATAACTTATTTGTAAATCTTCGTGGCAGATAACAAGTTTATTTTAAAGGTTTATCTAGTCTTTCTTTGGAAGGGTATAAAATGATGTCAGTTGGTCCTACAGAAAAGGTAGTTGTGAGTATCCCTGCAGGTGAGTGGAGGATTTCAGTGATCAATGGGGTGTATGAGAAATTACTGTGGTTACTTTTCTTGCAATCATATTGCATAGCATTTGCTTCATAAATTGTCCAACTGAAGTTAATGGAATAAAGCACTGCTCACTCTGCAAAACAATGTCAAAACTGCTATACTTTGTTTAGAGGAAGAGAAAGGAAATAATGGGTTAGAGGCCCTTAAACAGTCTTCTCAAATAGTGAAGCCCTAATATAGTAGCTGCAGTACAACACCAAGTCTAATGCTGACCTGTGGTTTATGTGAATGTAACTTTAAGACACTTATATCTGTTGAATATCCAAGAAAAGCAGAATGTTTTTCAAGCTACCTGTGTTGTGGCCTCAATCCGTTATCAGTGGAGTGGTGCTGGATGGCAGGCATACATGCAAGAACAGAAAGATGATTTTCCCTAAGGAGCAAATCATGTGAATAAGATCAAGTGGTTAATTGATGCCCAGATGACTAATGGCTAGTCTCCTATGGATTTGTCTAATTTTTGATGCTGAAAAATAACTAAATAGAGGGTTTTTTCTGTTTTGTATGGTGTTTAGTTAAAGCCTAAGTTCAACATACAGACATCTTCTGCGGGGATATTAAGGTGCTCAAGGATGTGTACTTTTTTGTGAAAATTATAAGTATTTGATTATCTTTGAGACTTCTTGGTCTTTTAGTTGATTTAGTCAGAATTGACTAATGAGTTCATTATATACACACACAAGCATTCATGTGTAGCATCATTGTATAATCTTCATCTTTCTTGAAACACTGGGCAAAGAATGAGGAAGCTGGTATAGCTTTGAATGTGTAATGACTGAAGGGCTGCTGGAGCACCAAGAGCAGTAATTGAAAGAAAAGACTGACTGAAATTGATGCTTCTGCTACCTTCTTTTTTCTTGGTTTCGCCTGTGGGTAATGTGGAGCCTTTGTGGTCCCAGTGATGATTTTGTGTTTGTGCAAGATTGGTATCTTGAGATGAGGAGCTTACTGTTGTCATTGATGAGTACAAGGGGAAAGGTGTGTGACACTGGCCTTCACCTAATGTCAGCAGTGTGTCCTCGAATCTCCTATTTGCTCTTCTAAGTGAGGGTGAACTTGGACTCTGCAGAAGGTTTTCTAAACTATTTGGCTGGATTTAGATCATTGTTTCCATATAATAATGTGTATGACTAAAAGTGTATAGGGCTCATAAATGTTGTGTACAAATGCTGCCTGGTCATCCAAGTACTATTTTCTGCATGTCCTGAAGTCCCAGTGCACCAGGTGGTACTGTATAAATTGGAGAAGCCACTTGGAGATATCAGCCTGTGCTCCTTTTGATAGAAAACAAATGGTTGTAGGCCATGTGATCTCTGTGTTATATTTATTTTTCCTTGAAAGTTGTCTGTTGTTTTAGAGTGGGTTTTTTTGTTTGTTTTTGGGTATTTTGTGGGGGGCTTTTTGTGAGTGGGGGTTTTTTCCAATCACTTGCCTTAGGATGTTTGAATTCTTACTGTAGGGTTGTGACAAAAATTCCCCATTTGATGGAGCAAAAGCAACCTCTGCTGCTGCCAGAGGTTTTGAGCTTTTACAGTCAGATTCACCCTCATTCAGGAAGCTTACAACTGTTCTTCCATAAATTCTCACGTTTTGATTCTGCATTACAACATATTTTGTCCACTTAAAATAATCAAATTTTAAGTTCTGCGTACTAGCAGAAAAATACAACTTAATCTACAATGAAAGCCATTGTTCATTGTGACTTAATTTCTTAGAATGGGGGCCAGACCATCCTATTCTGTTTCCTTGGGAAGGATGGGGCAAGAGTAAAGAGATTCACAGGTTTAATGGGGTCCATAGCACTTAAGCAGGCGGATTACTCAAGTTGCCACAGTCTGTACTGAAAAGCATTGGGCTCCTACTGAATTGTTTTGTTGGTTTTATTTAGTGGTATTGATCCACTCATATTTTTTCCTGATTAATTCTTTAAAGATGAGGCTCATTATTATGCTGCTTATACTTAAAAAAATAGAATTTATCCCAGATAAAGTTGGTGGCTTTCCTAGGCAGGGCTCCTCTTACCTTTGTTAATCTGTGAGATCTCAAAATAATACATGAAGTGTTCAAGTACCTCCTGACTCCTCTGTTGAGTTACAGTGGCAAATGCTGTTAAGGATGGTATTTATGTTTATATGTACATAACAAATGTTTACAGAAAATAGATTATGTATCCAAAACAAAACTCCACTGGAAAATTGAAGAGTTATGTATTTAAAAATTACTTTCATTTTCTGATGCAATGTTACATTTACACCAAGTTTTCTTCACTGTTGGTGATTTTTATTTTAAAAGTCTGAATTCAAAGGAAAACGTACTTCCGTAGGCTCTGGCTGATTCAATAATGAGCTGTAAATTGATTTCAATTTGAGATCCAGTAAAAACAAACATACTTCATATACTTTGCAGCTTTTCCTTTTTACAGTGTTTTGACTGCACTTCATAACAAAAGATAGAGCCCCTTTCTGTCCTGGAAGAGTTGGAGCAGCCACTTGGGTTCTTGCAAATGAATGTTTGTTTTTATTTCAAACCTGAAGAGGAGTTGTGGCCTATTTTGGGAACCAAAGATATTAGAAAAACTGATTCATAAAAGATTCATTAAAAACAATTACAGTTCTTTGAGTTCCTAAAGAGGTCTTAAGGAACAGGTAGAGTTTTTTGTTTTCCTTGTAATTGTTATTTCCCAATAAAAATGATATCTGAAGAACACTTGACCCTAGGGTATACCAAAAACAAGTGATTTGCTGAAACATGATAGTTACCATTTAAATGTTTTGTTTCCTTTCATCCTGAGGTGTTAAATATTAGATATGCAGACTCAGATGTTTGTGTCTCTGGCTTTCAGTTGCATCACAGCAGGAAAAGAATAAAATCGTAGAGGTGTAACAAAGCATCTCTGAAGCAGGACTTTTATTTTTGCTCCCAACCCAAGTCAGCCAGGGACTTGGGTTTTTGTATTTGCTAGGTTACAGAAGTCAAAACTTTATAAGTGCATGTTGGTTCACAGTGTTGGTCAGTTACTCACCAGTCTTAAAGTTGGAAATCTGCTGCAACAAATTTTTAGAGCACAAATAGTACAATGTGTGTCAGATTTTTAAATTTATTTTAATGTAAGTTTGTTCCATGATAATTAGTGTGTATGCACTATTATGCTCGCATAATTGCATTGTCAAAGATATGTAAAGTCTGTGGTCATATATATTGAAAGCTAGTTTCATGCTTTCTCTATGCTACTGTGTGTATAATTATGCATAAGTTTAATTGTGCTTTTTAATAAACTGGGTATTTGGTCTGAATGCACATAAAGCTAAAAAATGAAAAAACAAACAAAAAACCTTACATGATGTATCAGTGAACTAGGTGTCTGTTAGCTAGACCTGATTACCCAAAGATCAATCAAAATGAGGGAAGGGAAGAGAGAGAGACCACAGTTTAGGACTTTTTGAGAAAGCTCAGTTTTACTGCCTCCAAAAGCTTCACAGAACTCCTTGAGAAGAAACTGTCCTTGAAGGTGAATATGAGGCTCCATCTTTACCAGATGCTGATTAAACAGATTTGGTTATATTAACTGTTACAATTGGTATTTTGCACAGCATAGTGAAATTACAGTTTTGTTGATTTAATACTAATGCTTTCAGTCAAAGCTATGAATAACAGCAGAATCACCCCAGCTGCCTGGAGACTCAAAAGATCATTTTCTATCAGTTAAAATCTAGAAATTCTTGTAGTAACCACAATAACTGCAGTTTAGCCATTGGTTTATTGCTCAGTGGTGTGGCTGTTGCTTGGTGAGAACAGTGGCTTTTGAAGATTGTTTAGAGAAGTAATAGAGAAGTACCCCCCTGATGAACAAGGCTGGCAGACTGACAACAGCTGAGGAGAAGGCTGAGGTGCTCGGTGACTTCTTTGCCTCAGTCTTCACTGGCAACCTCTCTTCCCATGCCCCTTGAGGGGACGGACTGCAAAACGGGGATTGGAGGAGCAAAGTCCCCCCACTGTAAGAAAAGATCAGGTTTGAGACCACCTGAGGAACCTGAACATGCACAAGCCTATGAGTCCTGATGAGGTGCATCCCAGAGCCCTGAGGGAATTGGCTGATGGAGTTGCCAAGCCACTCTCCATGGTATTTGATAAGTCCTGGCAGTCAGGTGAAGTCCCTGGAGACTGGAAAAAGGGTAATACAGCACCCATTTTTAGAAAAGTTAGCAAGGAGGAACCTGGGAACTACCGACCTGTCGTCAGCCTCACCTCTGTGCCTGGGAAGATCATGGAGCAGATCCTCCTAGGAGCTACGCTAAGGCACATGGAGGACAGGGATGTGATTCATGACAGCCAGCATAGCTTTGCCAAGGGCAAATCCTGCCTGACCAACCTAGTGGCATTTTATGATAGAGTGACCAAATCAGTGGACAAGGGAAGAACTACCAATGTTGTCTATCTGGACTTGTGTAAGGCCTTTGACATGGTCCCCCACAATATCCTTCTCTCTCAGTTGAAGAGATGGATTTGATGGGTGGATGAGGAATTGGCTGGCTGGTTGCATCCAGAGGGAATGGTCAACAGCTCAATGTCCAGATGGCGATTAGTGATGAGTGGTGTCTCTCAGGGGGGCATATTTGGACCAGTAGTGCTTAATATCTTCATCAGTGACGTAATGGGATCGAGTGCAGCCTCAGCAAGTTTGTAGATGACACCAAGCTGAGTGGTGTGGTTGCTGTGCCTGAGGGACGAGATGCCATCCAGAGGGACATTGGAAAGCTTGAGGCATGGGCCCACGTGAACCTGATGAGGTTCACCAAGGCCAAGTGAGCTGGGTCCCGCACCTGGACTGGGGCAAGCCCCCAGTATCAATCCAGGCTGGGAGATGAAGGGATGGAGAGCAGCCCTGCCAAGAAGGACTTGGGGGTACTGGTGGATGAAAAGCTGGACATGGGCCAGCAATGGGCACTCATAGCCCAGAAAGCCAACCATATCCTGGACTGCATCCAAAGCAGCGTGGCCAGCAGGTCAAGGGAGGGGATTCTGCCCCTCTACTCTGCTCTGGTGAGACCCCACCTAGAGTCCTGCATCCAGCTCTGGAGCCCCAGGCACTGGAAAGTCATGGACCTGTTGGAGAGGGTCCAGAGGACAACCGCAAAAATGACCAGAGGAATGGAACACTTCTCCTGTGAGGACAGGGTGAGAGAGCTGGAGTTGTTCAGCCCAGAGAAGAGCAGGCTCTGGGGAGACCTTATTGCAGCCTTCCAGTACTTATAAGGGGGCTTATAAGAAAGATGGGGACAGACTTTTTAGCAGGGCCTGTAGCAATAGGACAAGGGGTAACAAGTTTCTCACATATTGACTTAAGCACTTGCTGAGTGAATATACTTGGAATAGGCTTATACTGTTTTCCCCAATTCTTATACTTTCTCAAAATAATCTTTTGTAGCACAGGTTAGTTCTTGATCAGCCCCAGGATTATAGTTCTTACACTCTTAATTTCAATATTTGTTTCTAGTCTTCATCTAAAGGTAAAACTACCAACCAATGACACACAAACTAGCCTAAATAAATGCTATGTTTGGGATTTGCATTATTATTCAGGAGTGTATATAGGCAGATGGTGTCATGGTTGGCTTGTTTTTTTCCCCATTTTGTGGAAAATAAGGGTGTATATCTTTGAGTAGTAATTTTAAAGAATTACCATAGTTCATTTGTGTTCAAATGGGAATGCAACCCAAAAAGTAGTACATAGAAACTGTGTAGTAAGAGGCACAAAATTTGGGAGGAAAAAAGAATGTTTCATGTATGCAAACAACATTTAAATGAGTGTAATATTACTTGTGTTAAATTGAATGTACTGTTCTGGTCCCTGGAACTTCCTAGGCTTGAAAGCAAATTACGCTGCTTTTCAGCTGCTAGTTTCCTAACTTTTAATCAGTTGCTGAACCCAGGGAGTAAGTAAACAGAAATAAGGAAAATATCTGCATTTGAAGAAGCTATAGCTGTCGGGATCAGAGTTGAAAATTTCAAAACGCATGATTTGGACAGTCAGGTGGTCCGAGTGTGTCTTTGAACTGTTACTTTCTAACACCTGTTGTTTAATAAAGATTTAATTTCTTGTAATTTTATAGAGGTTGTCAATTTCTACAAAAGCAAATCTGTCATGTGTGTTTTATTTCATTTAGAAAACCATATTCTCTTTATTTAATCATAAAAAGTTAAGCACTCTTCTGGAGTAATTTCAGGCATGCAGCTTGATTCATATAAGCTTTTGTCATATGTCTGAGATCTCCCTTTTCCTCCCCAGTGAGACAATGAGGTCTGTTTATTCCTGGCCAGCTGAACAGCTTTACCACCTTGAAAGGTGGAATAATGTAAAGAATGAGATGCAGTAGGGACAGCAGAGATAATTGCATGCTGCTGTTCTCTCTGCTGCTTCTCATGAAGCAGTAAATTTTCCTAGTCTACCCTAGTTGGTTGATTGTGAAGATCTTGAGGACACTGCAAAATACATGGCAGAAATGGTGGATATAGAACTGCAGCTCTTCAGGAAGTCAGCCTGCTCACTATCATAGGTCTTTCTTCTCCCTGTAAAGCTTAACTTTCTAACAAGTAAAGAATACCTTTCAAGCATATAACAGCTGTGGGGTATCTGCCAGTAATATTGCCAGGCAAATGGCTAATACTGCACTTTAGTCAAAAAATCTGTCATATGATGGAGATGGTATTGCATGTACAGCCTTTTTAAAAAAAAAAAAACAAAACCAAACAACAAACTGCCCCCACCAATACCAAAAAACTTAAACTGTCTGTGGTTTTGGTTTATTTACTTTGAGGTTAGATAATAACTTTCAGAACTTTGATGGAAAACTTTTTATGGTATGTGGAGATTTTAGTTAACTTTGCCTCATGCTGAAGATGTGTACATCTGTGACCATGGATATGAGAGTCGCTAGGAATATTTTTGTTTGGTGTATGTAGACTTACTTATCCTGTTTTATGTTCCTTATACTGTTTATTTAGTTGACATGTGATAATGTTATAGCATGATACGGGTTTTTTTTGCATGGCATTAGATTATGTGAACACTGCTTCTTTTTTTGCCTTTAAAAACTTGTTGCAGTGAGTGTGGATGGAGCTGTATATCTTCTTTAAAAAACTTATGACTTACATGCTTAATTTGGGTTCCTGACCTTAATTCTTCTTCTTTGTTTGCTTCTTCAAGTTTGTGCCAACATTCTGCTATCTACCAGAAGCTTGTAGTAGAAATGTTAAAGTCTGTATGAATGGAGAGTGAATGGGAATACACACACGTATGCACGAGCTTATGGAAGCACACGATAGAATTAAAAAAGGGGGCATATGAAGGCATGTAAATCAACTGGTGTTGATGCTACCTAGACTAGCAGGTTACTGAGGTCACAGACCATCTACATGAACTTTCGGAAGACACTGAGATCAGGAGAGCAAGGACAGCATTCGCACAAGTTTAAACCATTAAGATAATTGCAGAACACAAAGAACAGAGCTAGAGCCTTAAGACCTCCGGAGGAGGAGACAAAAACAATCAATAGCCTTTAATGAGGGGGCAGAAACAAGAGAGACGAAAGATCAGAAATATGCAAAAGAAGCACATGGCTGCCAGGCTAGGAAGAATAGTGAAGACCTAAGTACTTGTTGATAGCCAGGGTCTTTTGTCCTCCTCGCTGCACAGAGTCCTGACTAGGCTTCCTGGGTGCACATCTTTGCAACTGAATGCTGGACAGACTATTTGGACATGTGTCTTTTTGCTTTTGAGTATGTGTTGTGAGTGGGTGAAATGTGTTTTCTTTTAAAATAAAAAAACCTCCCCTTCATTGTGATTCCAGTACAGAGAAGACACATGTAACCTGCATAGGGAATATCTGCTCAGATAGGAGTAGTCTTGAGGGCTTAAATCTGTATGAAACTGTTTCCCATTTTCTTAATGTTTGAAATGCCTAAGGAGTTTAATTTCTTTTGGAGTTGGTATGTAATTTGTGTCTTTTAAAAACAAACTGACCAAACCAAACCCCCAAAAAACATTTATCATCGCTTAGTGAAATCTAAGACTGTTCCTGTCTTGGTAAAAGCCTGCTACCCAGGCTATTAATGGTAATACACCATTGAATTAATGGCTCAAGTCAAGCATCTTTTAAAATGTGCATCAAAGGTGATTGAGAAGGGGAAGAATATGAAGTTATTAAGCAAGCCAAGACTGTTGATTTTATTTTTTCCCCTAGTTGATATCTGTAGGTTAAGTTGATATTTTAATTATTGATGAATACTTATTTATTTGCATGTTTCATCAATTTTGTGGATTAGTCTGTTAAGTGGAAAAGTTGCCATGCAGGAATTTCGTTATTGCACCCTCTTGAAACCTTGATGAAATTCTCCAGGTATTGCTAATGCTGACAATGTGCTGTAATGCATGCAACATGTTATCTGAGGAAGACAATTTAATGCTGTTGTGTGTGTTTTTAACACTTTTTTTCAGGAAGGACCTTTAAGACCTGTACTTGAATGCATTGACCTTGTTAGTAGTGAGGATGAAGAACCTAACAGCAGTTCTTCTGTTCATGTGAGTATGTTGTAGTGTATTTTGGGACTTCTCAGTTGAATAAAATAATTAGTCCTGTATTTTTTCCCATCAGTTACTCTTCACAAAAATTAGTTAGAGATATTTTTAACAAGTAATAAATAAATAAACCAACATGAAACTTTTTTTTTACCTACTGTTGAGTGGAAGGCAAGCATGCCAACACTTCATTTTTTCCAGAGTCATCGTTTGCTTTCTTGAAATGAACTCGGAACTTTTATTTGCCTTTCAGTGGCTTCAGCAAGAAGCCACAAAGCTTCCTTGTTGAAGAAAAATGTCACTTTACAAGTGACCTCAGAAGTCAGTGTCTCCAGTCTCTAGGCTACAAATGTATCTGGCCTATTCCGAAGGCTTTTCCTTCTAAAATAACTTTTTAGGAGTAATTTATAGGTTGGAGACCTTCTTCTGATCACAGCCTGCTCTTAACTCAGCCACATTCTTCATAATTCCTCCTAAGCTGGTCAATTCCTGTATCCACCAAGCTTATTGTGCCTAATCTGAGGAGCCTTGGAAAGGGGCAGTGACTGAGAATGACTCTACTAGAGTTGGTTTCGGCAGTAGGGGCCACCTCTTGACTTCTGTTGTCCAGTGTTGCAGTAGAGGATGTGTGAAATAAACCTAGTTCTTAAGGAAAGGTGGACCTTCTGTACATGCATAGGCTCACTCCACAGTGATGACTGCTAGAGCTGATCATGTGGGAGGAGCAAACTACAGTGTATCGCCTATACCTTATGCTAGAAAAAGCTAATGATCTGCCTTTCCGAAGATACTAGGCAATGTTGTCTTAGAGCAAGAATGATATCAGTTATCAGTTTTTCAGATGGGCTGCATGTTGGCTTTGAAATCTTTAGGAAATTTGTTTACCCACTTAGACAAATTTACTTAATTTTTAATTTGTAGGAGACTTCTAGGACACCCAGCACAATCATCCATGCCCTTTCTAGTGCTTTGGTGAGGCTAACGTAGATATGGAATTGCCTTGAGTATGTAGGGAGATGGGGGTTGTTTTGTTTGTTTGTTTTTTAACAGAAGTTACAGATGCTGGTAAATAGGAAGAGAAAACTGGCAAGGTAGATCATGGAACTTAGAATTGGAATATCTGTACTGAATTATGTCCTGATGCTTGGGTGTCATTTTTCACCATGTTAGTGCCTGTTAATTAACAATTCCCAAATAAAAGTTCAACTTTTCAATTGTAGAGAAATACCAAGCGTAAAGACCACATTGACTATCAGAAAGAACGAGTTGCATCAACCTTGGACCGTCTGGCACGCCATGTTGAAGTAGAGAAACAGCAAAAAGAAGAGAAAAACAAAGCCTTTAAGGTATTGTATGTATTTTGTTTCAGTAGAATTGCATAATATAGGCCTTGTAGTCAAGAATGTGTTTGTTTTCATTACTAAGTAATAAAAAGATTGGTGAGCCAGACCTGGAACTGGCAACTAGGGGTTTTTGCTTCTGGGATATCATTTGAAACACAATACAGACTTTGTTTCTTCAGTGGCTTTTAACTAATCAATTTGCTAGTCTTGTTGCATTGCCTAAGGCGAGGGGAAAGTCATGCAAGCCAATGGCAAAAACTTGATTTCTTGTTTGTAGATATAGCAGAAGGACCTTAGCATCAGTTATTCTGGTTAGATAATTGAAAAATAACAGTTATCACAAACCACCATGCAGCAAACCTAGTTATATACCTGCTTTTGTCTGAGACTTTTGGGAAGCCGTTTGCCACATTACATCTCTGTATTGGGTAATAGTTTATAACGGGATAAATTTTTATATGTATAAATCATAATTTTAAAATCAAATCGTACTAACTGTATTGTGCAGCCATTTGAAAGGTGTGGATTTTTTATTTTTATTACAAACTGGGAGGTGCAGTCAATAGGCTTAAGGGTAGGGCTGCTATCAGGGGGACCTGGACAGCTTGAAGGAATGAGCTTACAAGAACCTCATGAAATTCAACAGGGACAAATGCAAATCCAGTATTTGTAGAACATGCTGACTTTCCAGACAAGTTTTTTGAACACTGTTAATGGCTTTTAAAGTCACATAATTTTATTATAGTTACAGCTTGTTATAGTCTACAATAGGCTGTGCAACTGTAATACAACAGAGTGAAAGGCTGTTATAGTCCAAGGTAGCCTTGAAGTCCAGAGGCCTACATCCCTCTCCTGTCTCCTCCGCTTAGAATTTGGTGATCTGTTAATCTGTTAAAACAGAATCTATTAATGTCTCCACATACAGTTTCTCAATTGCAAAGTGGAGTCGGAGGTAGCTATGTAGCTTTTACAGTAGTCTGAGAATGAAGGCAAAAACATCCTTTTGTTAATGATGAATATTTTGCTGCTGAGCAGCTCCTCACTCCTCATGAGGTAATGCAATCTGCCAAATTAATATTAGTCTTCAAAGTGAAACTGCCATTTTTAAGTTATTTTTTTATTTTGCCTCAGCAATGCAACAAATTGACTCTTTGGTTTCAATACCTGTTTTGTGTTGCCTTTTTAAAAATTTTGTTATTGTTTGTTTCTTTTTATAATCTTATCTTAAAAATCTCCTTGGTTATATATATGCTTCAGAAACTTCAGTAGGTACAGTAAAAGTAAGTTAATTGACCTAAACTGTAGCTTTTTTTTTAGGGCACAAAAATTAGCATTATATTTTATTTTTTTATTGCTGTTACATTCCATCTTTATTGTGTTATATAGAAGTCAGTCAAGTTGTAAGATTTTTTTTTTTTTCCCCTTAGGATTTTATGTGTGGGGTTTTTTTTTTTCCTTAAGTTTTTGAGACCCACATGTAAGTTTTTGGTATACATATTTAATCTTGAATTCTCTTTTTTTTTTTTAAATTTGATTGTCACCTTGCCTAATATGTTTTCCCCTTCAGGAGAAAGTTGATTCCCAATATGCTCATGGGTTGCAAGAACTAGAATTTATTCGGGAACACAGTGACACAGAAGCTGCAAGATTATGTGTGGACCAGTGGTTAAAAATGCCAGGTAAGAATAGGAAACTTAAGTTTCAGTGATATGTTTTCTAAGTCCTGCGTTGCAGAATAGAACATCTGATAATTGCATTGAGCAATACTGACATTGAGCTTGCAGGTGCCTCTTACACATAACCAAATCTTACAATAACAACTTTGCTAGAGTGTGGCATTTGAAAGTTCTTAAACACTCATTTCCATAAAACTTACTTTTCTACTGGTTTGCTACTTAGAAAATTTAATATACAAAGTCTAATAACCACTAAGGCAATGTTAACTGCTTTTATAAGCAAAATTGCTAGAAGGAAAAATATTGAACTGTTACTCAGGAAAATGTCTGCATAATTAAGTATAACTTCAGGAAGTTATTTCAGTCAATTTAAAGTATTGCTTGGAGGATCTGGAGGAAGGGTGTCAAAGTGTTTGAAAAATGATCCTAATTGGGATTGAAGAGACAGATTCTTTGAAAGAGCAGATTTACACTGCATTGTTAGCGTACTTTTAAGAATCAATGTAACATGATTTTTAAAAGCTTTAGGGCTTGTATGTTATTTTATTTGTTTTCTTAACCATAATCTCAATTATAGAGGCTTAAGTGCTTTGTTTTATAACACAGGTCTCAAACCAGGCACCGTTAACAGTGGAAAAAGGGGCATTTATAAGAGGGCAGGTCAGACGCAAGTCAACAGCAGTCCCATATCTTGTCCTGTGATGCATTGCAACAGAGAGTTTGATAATGGTCATCTTCTCCTAGGTCACCTTCAAAGGTAAGGACATAGTGCAAGAGCTCAGTGCAAGAAATGATAATGAAAGAATATGCTCGACCTTAGGACATCAGCATCAAGTCTAATTTAAACTGCCTACAGTGACAAAATTGTATTTGGAGAGCGGATGATATATTACAGATTTTACATAGATGATGTAATGAACTTCCTGGTTGGCTGGTGGTTTGGGTTTTTTGTTTGTTTTGGGTTTTTTATTCAGAATTGATTTCTTCCTCTTGTTGAGCGGTTTTTTTAGGTTGTTTTTTTTTTTTGAGAAACAAGATTTCTGTTCTCCAGTTCTATTATTTCTTCATCCAAACTTGAAAAAGAGTAAAAGGCTAACGTGCACAACTTGATAGTAAGATTAAAAATTGCATTCAATGAAGGGAAAGA